AGCTTCTTCAAGCCCCACATTCCCTCACTACACTTCACAATAAAAGCAAGATAAGGATACACTGTAGTTAAAGGTAAGGGGTCAGCGACAGCAGATTTCAGAAAGATTCAGGGAAACTGGGTGAACAAGAAAAGACTGAATAGTAGGCAGACATGAGGGTGAGTAAATAATGACAGAATTATGATTTTTGGGTGAACTAACCCTTTATATGGGCCAAGAAAGAGGCAACTCACTACAGTTTCAAATTAGCTTCCTCAACACTGTACTGTAGAAGACACATGTACTTTCTTTAAGCCCCATAATCCCTCGCTATACTCCTCAATGAAAGCAAGAAAAAGATACAGTTAAAGGTAAGGGGGCAGCAACAGAAAATTTCACAAAGAAAATTTGGCAAACAAGAAAAGAATGACTGTAGGCAAAGAAAGAGATGGATGAGGGAGACTGAGTAAATGAGAGAACAGAACTTCTGTTGTCTCATTCCCTGTGGGCATGGCTAGGATTTCAAACGTTCCTCGACTCCACTGCTGTTCCCTGTTAGTCTGCCTAAGACAGGAGATCATGCTACTCTAGGAGAAACCTGGTCTTCTGGACGTTCCTAAACACGGTCATCTTCCAAGAATACAGCATGAAATGCAGCACAGTTAGGCTTTGAGTGATGCCAGCATTGTAATGTGGAATTTGGGTTAAGTACGCTGTGTCAAGTGGACTCTAGAAAAGGGACTGGGTAAGTGGAACAATACACACGACTTGAATTATTTACCCGGTCTGCTACACCATGTCTCTCTCTCTGCTCTATTTCCTTTGCCTAGTCACAGCAAGTGAATGAAGATGTTTCGTGGAACCATTTATGTGCACTGGGTTAACTATCTAGCCAGATTTCACATCATAATCTGCCTTTTTGCAGTAATACAGACTTATTCAAACTAAAGCAATTGCAGTGCAAAAAAATAAAAATAAAATAAAACTGTGAGGTGTAGAAGTCCATTCTGTTTACAATGTCGCTCTTTATTTATTCATCTGCAAGAGATTACAAACAGATAGTTCTGCCCCCAAATGTATACCATTCAGCCAGCACTTTTCAAGGAATCAAACTACAAATAGTCGAGTCTGCATATTAAACTGGGACACATTATACATTTACAAGCTTTTTGCAGAGACTATTATCCAAACCACTTTGCATTGCATTCAAGATATACTTTTTTTTTTTCAATCAGTTATGGTCATGTTCTATTCGAATCTATAGAGACATACTGTTCAAAAGTTCGAGGTCAGTATTTTTAAGAAATTAATACTTTTATTCAGCAAGGATGAATTAAATGTATTAAACGTGACAGTAAAGACTTTTACATTGTTCAAATTCTATTTCAAATAAATGTTTTTTTTTTTTTACTTTTCATCAAAAAATCCTGAAAAAAATGCACCATAGTTTCCACAAAAAATAATAAGCACCACAACTGTTTTTAACTGCTGAAAATTTAGCTTTGCCATCAGAGGAATAAATCATTTTTATATTTTTTCTCTATAAAATAAATGTAGCCTTGTTTTTTGCCTTCTTTTTTGCTTTTCTTTTTCTCAGTGTAAGAGAAAAATGTCTTACCGACCCCAAATTTCAGAATGGTAGTATATATAAGATAGACAGAAATATTTTAAAATTCAATAAATAAATAAATGTACCTTTAGGCTCCATATCTAAACTTATTTTCATTATTTATTAAAATCACTGAAATTAAGTTTTCTTAACTTCCAAATGAATGTGTATTGTAAGGATCACAATTCACAATTCAGTGGAAAACAAATCAACTGTGCTAGCAAACATTAGAGACGAATAGACAACAACGCTAAGTGTGATATTCATCATAATAATTTTTGTAATAGATAAGTTATTCAACAAGTTCATGGGCAGAGCCAGTACTAGACATTCTTTGATCAAATAAATGCAGGCTTGATGAGCATAAGAGACTTCTTTCAAAAACATTAAAAGTAGTAATGTGTCCAAACTTTTGACGGTACTATATGTGCATATTAATCAAACTTTATCTAAGGTAATCTCCTTCTTGTTTGTTGAGGATGTTATTATAGCCATGATATTATTATTATTATTCGTAGTAATATTATTTTGCATGAATTTGTTCAGTAATTTATTCACAGTTCCTGAATACCACTTCAGTAAATTCAGTGCTTTTATCTTTTTTTTTTTACTAGCTATGGGCAAGATTTCCCCCTCCCATTTAATCAGTATCGACTACAGATATTGTCATATTATTAATATTAATAATATTATATTATGTATTGCATTGTTACCTTACATATGCACTATATACAGAAATCAAGTGGAAGTGAAAGAGATGATCACTACTAAGCAGAAAATAAGTTAATTTCTACTTAAATTAACTTAAATTAAGTGTTATGTTAGAGCAGTAATGTAATCTTCCAGAGAATTTTGAAGATACATATGAAACAAAAAATGTTATAGTGTGTTTGCTTTGTGACTTTGAATACAAACTTCTTTGCTTTTACTTTTCTAGCTATTTTTCTAGTCAGCTCCCGACGCGATGTCATTCATCGTACACGCAAATTCAAAGCGTCGCATCTGGGGGCATCAACGGCGCTCGCGCTCTTTTAAATTCATAATAAACCGGTGAATGATCTGTCCAACAATGACGCTGATTGACAGAACAAGTTTATATTTAGAATACATTGCAATCACTCCAAAATAGATGATGACAACTCACACACCTGCATTAGGAGCTATACTTCTTTGCGTGCATATTTAGCCTTTTGCTTTGCAGCACCTGAAGGATGTGTTCATTACGGCAAACATTCAGAAGGCGGGACCCGCTTTGAAACGGCAAAATTAATTTAACTGCAGGTGAGTGACAATTTAATTATATCCAATAAACAATGAGGCTAGTATTTTGCTGCCTGTCTTGACTGGTGGACTAGCGTATAGGGGATGCAACGGTTTTGGAGGCCCCACCTCAAAGCCCGAGGCCCCAAGGTAATTGCCTGCTCTGTCTATAGATAGTGCCGGCCCTGGTGGGTTTGATTCCATATCAAAACACAAACTGATAAAATGTATACTATAAATGCTAAACTGTTTTAGAAAAAGAAAAAAAAAGACTCTTTAGAATTGCACTGTAAACAAAGTATTTGGCACTGCCCACATTCTGAGCCCAGCAGCATCCTGGTTACTCACACTGAAGGCTGACTGGTGATCACTACTTGATGTCGGTTAAGATTATCAGTTTGATGTTAAACAGTTCTGGTCCAGTTAAATTTCCAAAGTGTAACCATAATAAATGAACAGACACAAATCCTACCACCTCCAGCAACTATTATAGTCTGTGCCGTCATGGATGTGTCTGGAGGAGCAGCTAAGGAGAAACATACCACTAGTCATTTTTGTAAGACAAAAGCAGTGCATGGTAAATGTCAAACCAATGCACTTACATTAGTTTTCAGCCAATCAGAAGGAAGCGAAGCTGTTGTATAACAATCAGGTATTGTAAGGAAGAAACATTTCCAACTGGCCCTGGCATTGAAGCAGAAAGTACAGAGACACTTACAAAAACATCAAAACCCACAACTCACCGTCTCTGTTTTGAATTATGCAACATGCATCTGCCAAATTAGACGTCAAACACTGTCATTTGTACGTAATGTTTGTTTACTACAATGTAAGACTCCACAGAGGTTTGCGTTTGGTGTCTTATGTTGGGCCTCATATTTTTTTAACCCCATGGTGTGGCATGCATTTAAATTTAGCTACTGATTCCAAAACCAATTGAAAAACCTCTGAATGAGTATATACTGCATGTATGACCTTGCAGTGAAATGAACAACATTTTAATGCACTTTAACTGAACAAAACGGAAGAATATTTAATAGGCAGTACGCAATAGGTATGGAACAAATACATATATATATATATATATATAAATAATACTATTTTTTAAAGAAGATGGATGCATGGATGCATTAATAGATCGACAGTGACAGTATAACTTTCATATTGTTACAAAAATATATTTATATTTCAAATAAATGCTGTTCTTTTGAACTTTACTCATTAAAGAATGCTGAATAAAATGGATTGCAGCACAATTGCTTTCAACATTTATAAGAAGAAATATTTTTAAGCACCAAATCAGCATATTAGAACGATTTCTGAAGGATCACGTGACTCTGAAGACTGCAGTAATGTCAGTTTTGCCATCAAATAAATATATTACATTTAAAAATATTAAAATAGAAAACATTTAGGCCTATTTTAAACTTTAAAAAATATTTTACAATATTAGTGGTTTTATGTATTTTTTTTTATCAAATAAATAAAGACTTGGTGAGTTTATTTACTGTGCTACAGCAGAGTTGACTGTATTGTAAGTAAACAGTATCCCATCAATGTAGCCTCTCTAACTCTTTCAGCCTTTGCTAGTCTATTAGCCTTTACCGTTCCTGCAAAACTGACAGATCTAAGCTTTAATAAAGACAGCATTCCCCTCCAAACCTCTCACTGAGTTTTATGGATCCAATTCCAGGTGCAGATATTTAGCAGTATTTCACTGCCAGCGTCGGCCCTCATCCATCCACCAGCTCAAACACCAGCTAAGGCATTTCTGATGGAAGTTGTGAGAAATCAATTTAGTATGATATCCATATTCATGAATACTCCCCCTCTCTTTCCTGCGAGAGAGATCGGAAAGCATTCACCAATTTCATAAAGGCCTCGGCCAGTGAAATTTACTCTGTGTGCTTGTATATGACAGACATACGTTCTCAGCTGTTATTGATGTTGCGATGCATGATTTCAGAAGGGATCGATGCATTAAAGTGGATTTCAAAGCAAACGACAAACCATCTTTAACAAAGACGTGATGATCAAAGCAATGTCATTTTTTGCACAATAAAGTACATTCACAAAGATGAGCAAGACAGGGACTGAGAAAAAATTATCACACAGATCATGAGACCTGTGGACTCGTAGGCTCATATTGTACCTGTGAGGTTCTTAAGGCCAAGCTGACGGAGACCAAAGTTGCCGTCTCTGCGGTAGTTGAGGAAGATAGCCAAGGCGTAGCGGTCTTCATACAGCCTGGTGCCGCGGATGATGCGAAGATTCTCCAGGGGCAGATACTCAAACTGATTTAGTGCCACAAGCACATAGCCGGTCACCTCACGAATGGACTGCAGACAGAATAAAGCACAAACATTAATCAACAAATTTTAACATAATATTAACAAATAAGAATCAACTGGAGCTGCTGGAAATAAATTAGCATGATTAAAAAAAGAGAGATTTAGAGACACAGTCACAAAAATGTGCTTCGTGGAAATAATGACAAACAAGGATTTATTATATATAATATAAAAAACAATCAAAAAATGAAATTTTTTTTTTTTAACATATAGAAATAAAATCTGTATGTACTGTGTGTGTGTGTATTCTAGATCATTAAAAACTAAAATCAATTATTTTAAACAGATAGCTAAGTTTCGTCAGTTTAAGGCCAGTGGCGGCTCGTCGGGGGAGGCAGGGGAGGCACAGCTTCCCCAAAATTTTGAGGTGAAAATGAGGACGATTTAATGTTAATAAAATTCACAATTCACTTCAGTTCATGTCTCAGAATGTGTATTTTTTGTTTGTAATTTCACAGTTGTAATACCATAACGTGAAAGCACCTCTTTTCTATCGCGAATGTTCCGAATCTGCTGATGTAATTACAACCGCTAATGATAGAGAAGGGTAGGGGGAGGCCTGGGGAAAACGGAGCTCTCGTTGGTAAAAAAAATTTGCCAATCACCATCGAGTGTTCACTTTCAGCGCTGAGGAGTGTTGAGAAAAGAAACATCGCAGGGGAGGCTAGCCTCCCTTCTGGTATATCAACCAATCATCATAGAGACGTAAATTACGTGATATTAGTTTGAACGTCTCCTGCTGCGCTGATAATGTACTAAGTACTTATGAGTAGCGATATTGAATATTTGATCGCCGACAGATTTACCAAGCTCTCATTCAAACAGCATATATACAAATTAAAAATAAAGGGAGCTAGAACACACCTAAGCTGGATATAGGCTACAGCAGTCGGCTTAATTAAATGGCACAATAGGCAGCTCTCTTTTAACACAGACTTTTAAGAAGGGATGGATGTTTGCTTCAAGTGATAAGACAGGTAAGTCAAGTTATATTATCTTGCTGTATGTGTGTCGTTTTCTTTACTTTTTCTGACTAAAAGCCACCAAAAAGCCATTTTAAAGTGGTTAAGCAAATAATAATAATAATAATAATAATAATAATAATAATAAGAATAATAATAATAATAATAATAATAATAATAATAATAATAATAATCGGCAGAGATCCCCAGACCAATACAATTAGTGTGCCTCCTCTATTTTAAAACCCACGAGCCGCCACTGTTAATAATAATAATAATAATAATAATAATAATAATAATAATAATAATAATAATAATAATAATAATAATAATAATAATAATAATAATAATAATAATAATAATAATCGGCAGAGATCCCCAGACCAATACAATTAGTGTGCCTCCTCTATTTTAAAACCCATGAGCCGCCACTGATTAAGGCTAGGCTTTATTGTATTTTTGAAATAATTTTTGTAAATTAAACTTGCAATACACAAGAACAATCTTAAGTTCTTGTGTATTGCAAGATCAAAGATATCTCGTCAAACTATTTCTTGTTAAAAAGAGCCTCTTTCCATAGGATTCTGCTGAAATTTTGTTGGTGTCTCAATAATACAGGTGAAATCTAAAGTGGTCGTGATGTCACTCAGGCCTCTCGGCTTATCATACAGTCATTAGCTGAAGTGTTGGGAGTGGGCAGCAGTCTGGGCAGCAGTAGGACACAATGAGCCAGAGGGTTTTTTCTCTCTCTCTCTCTGCCTTGTTCTTTCTTTTTTTCCTATCGCTCTCTCTACCCTCTACTAGACAGATAATGATCATGGGGACGACTCAAATCCATCCAACCACATCCGTGAGACCCTCGCCGTGAGTCCGTGACATAATGGTGCCGTCACTGCGCCTGTCATTAAGGCAGACACAGTTTCATTCATTCTGACAGAGCGCCTCCTGCTGTGAATGATGACACTGAATGTGTGTGTTGGGGGGAAGAATTAGCCCTGAGGAAGCGCTAACATTGGGGAATGCTGTCACTGACAGCCATCAGTTAGCGTGAGCTTCATTTCGGGACCCATGCGGCGTGACAGGGTCCTGCCACTGTCATCGTCCTCCATGTCCGGCTAATGGGCAGAGACGTGAGCTCTTTTTAGCAGTAGTGCTAGAAGGCCAGTCAGAGCCTCAGTCATTTATCCAGGCTAATGAACTGTTCTAATAGCTGCGGGGACATTGCAGGAAGCACTTCCTGCAGTGTACATGGGTTATCACTGATGTGCGCTGTGAGGATTGTGTCAAGTGGGGTTACAGGACTTCTGATGAGAAGGTACATAGAGCAGACCAGCTAGAAATAGCATCTACACAGCTGTATGCAGAATCAGTGCTACATCTGTACACCTTGTACAGAGTATGATACTGCTTCATCAAGAGCGTAATGCATTAACAGACCATATTGCAATTGTATGCTTGGAAGAATTCTCTACTTGTATAAAAAGTGTTGGGCTAGGGCTGGGTGTTAAACGATATCATATCAAGATTGTGATAAAATTTATGTTGATAACACTGATAAGGTCTGGACATTTGTACTCAATATGGATTTATTTAACATGCTGCTAATAAGTCTGCAATGTTCTGTGTGAATGAGTGGTGTAGTTTTGTCTACTACCTACATGCTCAAGCACATGTGACGCTTGTCAGCATCTGCCATCACAATATATGAGGACATGCACATGTAAACTTCATCTCCAGAGATGTTATGAGAGAAATTTATATGATGAGATTTCATGAGCTTTACACTATTTACTTTTCAAATACTGAAAATAACATTCACAACAAACCACCAAAAGTAAAGTTCAGTTTACTTGAAGATAAATATATTACAATTAAATACTAAAATGGACTTCTCAAAGTTAGAATATTAATAATATTTTTAAGGAATATCATTCAACCAAGATATTTTTCCATACCCCCCCCATGGTTTAATTTATACTGTTGTGCAACATCTTAAGAATGCAGTTTTGTTGTAGATTAATTGTTATTTTTTTTATTTGATTGCATTCTAAAATAAATTGTTAATGTTTTATAAATTCATCTCACTAGACACCATTTTTGATGATACATTTGTATTAAATCATAAAACACAGAATCCAGCAAAAAAATAAAATAAAATGGATTTTACAGGGCCCTAAATTAACTTACTCTGTAGAGTTGTGTTCACAAATTATGTTTACATTCATTCTCATGGTCTAACAAACCAAAATCATATCCTTCCCTATTAATAGTAAACAAACATCATGATAAATAAGAATATTGTTTGGAAAAAATTCTGTGCTAATATTTTTGACCATATTGCCCAGCACTTTGCTGGGGTTTTTTTTTTTTTTTTTTTTTGCATTTAAAAATGGGAGCCGCAAGGGTAGCAAAATAAAAAATCCAAGGTTAAGATTAATAAAAAAAAAAAAATTTACTACTTTTAACTCGAGTGCCTCGAAAAGATGCTGTAAAAGATGAGAGATGTGAGTGCAATGGTCAAACATGTCCTTGAGCATGTTTACTTAGAAACACAATAGAAAATCAGCGCAGTGAATGCAAAAACTTATTCTGTGTGAACGCCCTTTAACAGGCTTTTAGCAATCAGAATGAAAGTGAGATCAAATCTGCAATACACTATGGGCAAAATGTCACAAAAATGTGTTTTGTTAAATTAACGACAAATATATTGGGTGCACCAATTCTAATATTCTCTAATATCAATACCCCCCCCCCCTCACCAGTGAGCAAGGAGCAGAAAATCTAAAAAATGCTGTCGCTCCACTCCACTCACATACTCTGATCCCATCATGGCATCTGAATTTGGATGAAAGTACGAATAACAGCCAAGCCTTTGACCTTATTGTGGTCCCTCCATTTCCTCTTTCTCTCCTTATGGCCAACAAAAAGCCAATGCACTCGCCACATTCTGCCAACAACCACCTCACCCCTGGCCACCGGGAACTAAACCCATCCTAGTTACCTAGCAACCTCTGGAACCTGCTGCTGTCTAAAAGACATGAAAGAGAGGGGGAAAGTAGAGGGTGAAGAAAAAACAGCAACATCTTTGTTGTACTTCTCCTAATTTAATTAAAGGATTACTTTGCAGAGATTTTCCACACAGCCTATTTGGATTCCCGCATTCACTTTCCAGCACCATTTAATTCCTCTTTCTCAAACTAATTTGTTATTTTCAAGCCAGTGGATCGATACCTTCCAGAGAGTAGAAGAGAGTGGAGGAGCGGGAATGGACGGGGCCCTCTTTCTTCTTGTGTTTGCACATAAATAAAGGTAAACACCTTGTTGTGATTACAAGCGCAGTTTATAGTTAATGACGTGGCATCAATGAGGAGCTCTTTCTACCTGTTGTTAAACATAACACATCCAACCTGAGCAGCTATAGAGATCAGTGGGCACACAAAGCCATGCCTTATTCTGTTGCAACTTTTACGGTACCTTCACCTCTAATGTAAAGGCACAGTTAGCACATCTGAGACATCTGTGTTCATTTGTAAGAAAATAAATTTCAACCTTTTTTGTTTCTGTTGCATTTCGGAGTAAGTTTTTTAAGTGTTGCACTCAAAGCAATCAATCCTCTACAGAGTGAAAGACAAATCCTTTGAATGCAATGCACACTTAAAGATATTACTTTAAAATTCAAAGCTAAAATTTAGTTTTTGTTCTCCCCCTCTAAAAAAAGTAGTTACAAAGTGTACGATTGCAATTCATGGTTAGGCCTATATTTGTAGTCCAAACTATTCATCTTTTTCAGACAAAGCCTTGCCTTGTTTTCATTATGAAGATAAATAGTTTATCTAAGTTATCTAAGTAAAATGTAATTTATTCCTGTGCTGCAAAGCTGAATTTCCAGCATCATTACTCCAGTCTTCAGTGTCACACAATCCTTCAGAAATCATTCTAATATGCTGATTTGGTGGTCAAGAAACATTCATTATTATCAGTGAAAAAAAACCACCCCAAACTTTTGAACAGAAATGTCTATATGCA